GATCCGTATAAGAGAGTAGACAGCATTCTGTGATTCTGTGATCCTCAGAGCTTGTTGGCTGCTATCTGTCGCATTAAGTCTTCTTTCTAGGAGAACGGGCCTAGGGCGATCCTGACTCAGGACCGCTTTGACAGCCCAGGTTCGCAGCAGGGCGGGGGCGCCGCCCCTCCGGCCATGTCGGGTAATGGCAGCCCCGCCCTTGCCGCCAAAACCGTGAGGGCACCGCCCCGGCCGCCCCTGAGGAAGGGACGCGCTGCCCCACCGCGGCGGGAGAGGCCGGAGCCATGTCACGGCGCAGAGGCTCCGTCAGCCCCTTCTTCTGCTTCGTGCGCGACCAGCTGCCCGAGCTGCGGCGGCGGGGGCTGCCCGTGGCCCGCGTGGTGGACGCCATCCCCCACTGCCGCCAGGCGTGGGCGGTGAGGGGGCGGCGGGCGGCGCGGGGAGGGCGGCGAGGGGGGCACGGTGTCAGTGCGGGCTCTCCGGAGGGTCGGGTCGGTGTCAGTGTGTTTAGCATTTCAGGTGGGCACCCTGAGCGGCCTCAGGTGGGTCTCGCTGTGTCGCCCTCCCCCTCGGCTGGCGGGGCGGCCCCTGGCTCGTGTGCCCTGGAGAGTGGCATCCCTGGCTGGCAGGAGTAGTTCCAGAGGATCCCTAGTTTGTGGTAGTTCCAGGAGATCCCTAGTTTGTGGTAGCTCCAGAGGATCCCTAGTTTGTGGTGTGGCATGGCTGGCCTGCCCTCACCTGGAGATCCTTCCAAAGCACGTTCTCGCTTGGGTGTTTGGAATCCAAGCTTACGGTGTCCTTAGGAAAAAAAAGCTACTGGGAGTGTTTTGAGTCAGGCTTGGCACCCGTCGATAATGTCCTTTGGAAATGTAAGAGTAATTTTTTTACAACATGGAGTTTGTGGGGCCACAAGCAAAAGGGAGGGGTGGAAACCTTTTTATAACAGTTCGTTTTCCTTCAAGTCGCTGACAGAGGAAGAAAAGGCGACATACCTGGAGAAGGCTCGTAAGTGGAATGGAAAGAATCGCTCTCAGAAAACTGAGAAAGAGGTAGGAGCTGAGAATGGGACACCCTTCAGTAGCTAAACCAGGAGGGCGGAGTAGGTGGGGTTGGGGTTTGGTCAGCTCGGCTGCTGTGGAAGGTCCCCTGCTCTCCATAGCCTCCAGCCTCTGGAGGTTATGGCTGCTGTAGTAGTTCATACCATTATGAAGGTTGTCCAGATAGTTGTTCTGGCTTGAATTGAAGGGTAGAATGCTCCATACCTTTTTAAACCAGCACGGCTAGTTCCTTTGGGCTCTTTTACCCACTAAAATGTGTTTCTCTAACATCCTACTTTGATGTTTAGCAGTTTTTTTGCAGTGCCTGACTTAACAGTATTTTCTTTTTTTAATTTATAATACTGCAAAATGACTTCTGGTCATAGGTTCGTGTAGCTTTTGAGTGTCATTAATTCAGGTGTTTCTTGCCTGATGGCCTGAAAGCACATCTTACAGGCGGCTGATTTGTTGTTCTCCAGTGGCTGTGTGGTGAACCAGGTCAATGAAATGTTGCAGCCTGTGCACAAATAGAATAATTGCACTTTGCCATTATTTCTAGGTTGGTTTGGTTATGAAGAGACTGGTAATGCTATGGTGGAGGACAATATAAAGTAAGCAGTTAGGTTAAGATGAATGTGGTTGTGGTTGGAAATAGTGGTAAACACATCACCACTTCTGCTGTTTACTGTCTTGAAAAGGTGTGTGTATCCCTTTTGTTTGTTTCTGTCTGTCTCTTTTCCTCTCCCAATAGTTCCCTGAAGCAGAGTTTGGTTCAGAGTTTGAATTATGTGAGGTGTCAGAAAACCTAATTTTATTCCAGTCTTGGCTGGCAGTGTAAAAACTTTTGTGTCAAAGGCAAGAGCCTGATTGAGTAAATGGATAGTAGTGCATTTACTTCTTCATCCTCTATTACTAGATAATGACTGTGAATTATGAATTAGTGGTGAGGATAAATTTCAGGACTTTAAAACACTTCTGTGATGCTAGAGAATGGCAGAATATAGTTTGGAGTAACTGGTAAATCTGGATTAGTTAAATTGGTCTGTCTAGACTAGTAGGGGGACGTTAGGCAGTGTTTTCTGATTTTTGGGGGCCTGCCTGTTAGGGAAGAAGCTGTTTAAAATATGATGATCATCATGTTATTTAGCAGGCTGAAAGTATGTGATTAATCAAACTCCATTTCTGTATATCATAGAAAACTAAGTGCAAGTCATAAATGGAGGCTTCTCTATTTCATTCCACAAGTTGTAGCATTTTAGAAGTCTGTAATCAGCGAAAGGAATAGTTGCTTTACCAAAATAAAGAGCACCATCATTACTGCTTGTCAGTGCAAAGAGGGAAATGTGTGTGTATGAGATGCTGTGTGATCTCAGTTTATTTATCACAGCCCTGCACACAGACAGCTATTTTGTGTAGTGAAAGGTCGTGTTCATCTTTTGGAGAAGACCAAAGCTTACTTAGATGGGAATCATTCCTCATTTTGTTTTAAATAATTCAAACTGATAACCAGTTAACTTTGGCTGAGATGTTTGTCTGGAATCAGTGCACCTGAATGTGGATGTTATTCCCCATTTGGGTCTTGAATGATTGAATTCTGTAAACCTGCCAGGTTTCTCTTCCTGTCCTATTAAAAGCTTATTGTTCCTGAATGGATTTTCACTGTTTATGGGAATGCATACCCCTCTTCCTTGCTCTCTGCTGGAGCAATCTGATGACTTCCTTGTGGCTATATGAGCTTTTCATGAATTTGTTTCTGCCCAAAGGCAACTAACACATGTGCCATGGGCTTTTATTCATAAACCTTAGGGGGGAAAAAACCTTTTATTTCCAGTTTGAGGAGTTCCTTGCCTGTGATAAGTGGTTGAACCTAAGAAATTATTATTTTTTTTTAATTACAGTTGCAAATTTAGCTGTAGTTCTTTAAAGTTGTAATGAGTTGACAGAGGTACTGAAGAGAAATATTGCCTTCCTGGCTTGAAGGTATACAGGCACTTTTATATAAACTGCAGACTTATTCCACCTAAGCTGTAATTGTTATGGTGGATGTTACATTTTCCTCTGATATAAGGAGGTGAAGGACTTTGTTTGGGGTGAGAAGACTCTTTGTGGTGTTGTTTGTTTGTTTGTTTGTTTTTTAAACTTTCTCATCTTTTCCAGACACATAATCTGGGTGATCCAGTTCCCGCTTCTCTGACCAAAAAGATACCCAGTGTTACTTCTTTGCCAGATGCCCTTGCTGTGTCTTGGAATAATGATCAGGGTATGGTAATCTTAAAGCCATTGATCCTCCTAGGTGAAAGTTTGCCTTCTGTGGATCTTCTCAGTGGTACCCATGCAAAGGATGTTTACATTTAGCTAATAGCCATCTGTGTCAACTGCTCCTTTGTTTTAAAGTATTTTACTACTGATCTATAAGGTAATATACAGTGAAGTCATGGAAAATGCCCCTTTCCCCCCCAAATTCCTAAGAATTCTGTCTTCTGGTTTTTTAGCTTGATGGGAGTTTGGCCACTAATAGTTTCTTAACAGTTATTTCAAGTTTTTTTTTTTTTAAGAAAGAAAAAATAATTTTTCAAGTCCTTTATGATTCTTTTTAAAGGGTGGAGAGTTATTAGATATCAAAGTTCAAGATTTGTAAGGCAGAGGTATTAAATAAAACAATGGCCTGGTCTCTTTGGGAGAATAGAAGGGAGGATGTGTACTCGTGGTGCCTTTATAACATCCTGACTTGCTTCCTTATTGAAAGAACTCTGGAAAATGAAACCTTCCTTATCTGTACCCCATCTTCAAATGGATTGTTATTTAGTGGAGCAAGAAGGAGTTTTTTTTGATAGAGGGCAGAACTTAAGGACTAAATGTCTGCCTTAAACTGCAGTGAGGACGTTATGTGACACTCACGGAGAGAAGGATTAAGGTGTGCAGTGAAATATTTTTTTATAATTGGGTACTTTTTAAATTAGTAAATGATAAATTTATTTCTTAACATTTGTCTTGGGCGCTCTTGCCACTTTCTTTGGGAGCTCATTTGGCGGAGGAGAAGCAATCCTTTTAATTAGCAGACTTCTCATCTTCCTGCCCCACAAGATTACTACCAGCTCATTTAACTTGTGTAAGTTACTAAATTGAGCTTGTGAGGCTGCTTTGCAGATATTGATTTTTTTTTCCCTGTCCTTATTTTCCTTAAGTGCAAAGAGACTTATCATTAAAAGGAATAGTAGTTCCTGTTGGATTCCAGGCTTCTTAAAAACTTGGGGGTTTTTGGGGTTTGGCTTTTTTTGGGGGGGGGGGTTTATTGGTTTTTTTTGTGGATCTTGGTG